ATTCATCCTATATGGTTGAGTGTAATGAGTTCTAGGTTTGCTAGGATGTGCTTTTCTAGTTTGATTATTTATCCTAACATTTTTATTCCCCCTAGCTTTAACAAATGTTGTTTTTCTAGGTTGGTTTTTCTTATATCCAAGTCCTTCACCATTACTAACTTTTTGCTTAAGTATTTTATCTAAGGTGTTTGAGGCATTATTGAACTTTCCCAATTTGCTCTCTAAACTAGCGACCTTAGCTTTTAGTGATGTACAACTAGAGCATGTAGAAGAAGAAGTAGTTGAAGGTTCTTGTGGCCTTTTTCCAAAAGAGATAATTTCTTGTTTAAGTTTATCATTTATATTTTTGAGTTCTTTGATTTCATTCTCAAAAATCAGGATTTTTTGCTTTATTTCATTGTTTTCTTTGGAAGCCTTTTTGAACATTCTTACTAAATCTTCTACAATGGAAACAACATCATTAAGAGTTAAAGGATCATTGGGAGAAGGTTCTTGATCACTTACCTCTTTTGATGTATCACCATCTTTAATGGCCATGAGACATAAGTTGGCCACTTCCTCCATTTCCGAGTCTTCACTCCCGGAGCCGTCGTTCTCCCAAGAAATGTAGGCACATTGCTTCTTCGGTGCCTTCTTGTCCTTCTCGTTCTTGAGCTTTGGGCACATTGGTTTGATGTGTCCAATTTCACCACACCCATAGCATTTGGGTGGAGTGTTCTTCTTGGCTCCGTTCTTGAGCATCATCTTCTTGAATTTCCGGACAAAGTGTCCGAGGTCGGTGTCATCGATGTCATCATATTCATCATCAACGTTGTTGTGGGTTGATGTTGTTGCAGGTAGAGCAATAGACCTCTTGTTCCTCTCTTCAACCACCTTTGAGAGTTGGGTGGTTTCGTAGGCAATAAGATTACCTCGAAGAGCATCATAGGTCGTTGTTTGGAAATCACGACCTTCTTCGATTGCGTCCACCTTTGAACGCCATTTGGGGGATAGGCTTCGCAGCACCTTTCTCACGAGCTCTCGGTCGGTGTATGTCTTCCCGAGAAGATTGAGAGGATTGATGATGTTAGAAAATCTCTCAAACATTTCCTCAATCTTCTCATTTTCCTTCATTGAAAAGAGTTCATACTCGTGAGTGAGATGGTCAATTTTGGCCTCCCGAACCTGCGCGGTTCCTTCGTAGGTGACCTCCAATTTCTCCCACATTTGTTTTGCGGTTTCACACCGCGAGATTTTGCGGTAGTCATCCGCATTAACACCACAATAAATCATGTTTATTGCCTTTGCGTTGAGCTCCATCTTTTTGCAATCTTCGTCGGTGAACTCCTCTTCTATTTTGGGGACGTTGACTTCACCGACTTTCTTCATAGGGACTCCGCATCCGTTCTTCACAATCAACCACCACTTGTAGTCGTTGGATTGGATAAAGATTCTCATCCTCCCCTTCCAATACGAGTAGTTTGTTCCATCGAACAATGGTGGCCTCGTGGTTGATTGTCCCTCGGTCACTCCTGCGTTGAACATTCTTGATGCCATTTGATCTTTTAGTTCCTTAAAAAAATAGCGTATTCAAAGAACTTCCTGCTCCGATACCAATTGTTAGACAAATGTGCAACTCTAGAGGGGGGGTGAATAGAGTTGTTTTCAAGAATGTGCGTAAGGGAAAGAAGAACACCGAGATTTATACTGGTTCACCACCTCGTGGCTAGTCCAGTCCTCCGAGAGACTCTCTCGAAAGTCCTACTAATCTTCAAGCTTCAACGGGTGCTTGAAAAACCGGTACAACTTGAGAATTTGAATCACACAAGCCTCACTTTCTTACAACAACAAGACTTGAGTCACACAAGTCTTAAGAACAACACTCAAAAGAGATTGAGTTTACAACACAAGAATGAAAGCTCACACAATTGAGCAAAGTAGTGTTGAAGATTTAAAGCTCTATGGATGACAACTTCTTTAGCACTCAAAGAAAATATTTCTAACTCTCAAAATTAATATTTTGATGAGGAAGATGAAGCAAAGGATGAATATAGCTCAAAGAATTTATTGGAGTGCAAGAGATGTGTTTAGAAATGAAGGAGAATGAGGGATTAAATAGGCTGAAGAAAATAGAACCATTGGAGCAGACTGAGAATAGGCACCAGACAAAATTAATAAAATAAAGTGGAGAAATTAATCGATTAGACGGCGCTGTCTGAACTAATCGATTAAGGTGAAGAAAAAAATCGATTAATTGGAAAAAATTCTTCAGCGAAGAATGCAATCTTAATCGATTAAGTTTGATGCAAAAATCGAATAGACTGCGCTGTGAGAGCTAATCGATTAAATGAATAAGAAAAATCGATTAATAATGAAGGCTTGAGAAATCCGGAAATGGATCTAATCGATTAATTTACAAAAATTAATCGATTAAAGTGGAAATAATGTGCAAACATAAAGGACCCAAGCCAAGTGCGATTGGAAGCCTTTGGCTTCTAACTCGTTGTTTGGGACAACTGGAATATCAACGGACGCTCCTCATATCTCCTATTCAATGAATTTGAGTATGGGAGAGAAAAAGAGTCCAAAAATTATTTTGTGTGTCAAACGATGTACACGAGAAATATTTAAATTATATTTTTCTTACCAAAAAATATTGTGTAATCTTAAAAAAATGTTTTTAAGAAATTTTGACACACTTATTTTGAAACTGACTCAGTAAAATATTTTAGGCAGAGGAAAAGTAATTTTTCAACTGACTCAAAAATAATTATTTTTATCCCTCAAAAATAATTTGTTTGTGCAGAAAAAAATTGTCATCCTTACAAAGATTCCTAGACTTAATTAAAAAATAAAAAAGTCTTCGGAGTCTTCACTTCACTTCAAAAAAATCTGCGTAGGGGTGATCGTCGATTTTTTTTTTATCGCCGTAAACTTCTTGATACCCTTCTTTGCTTTTCTCGATATGAAAATAAATTTTCGATCAGCTTGAAATTAATCATCTTGTTTGTCATTCATCAAAAAAAATATTCCAGAAGAAATAGTAAAGGGGTTTGAACTCATGTCCAACAGCAATCGATGAACTTCCCTATTTTCTGGTTTCTTTCATCTCATTAGGAACCATAATTGTGACCCAAAAGTGTAAGCTTTGGCCCATCAACGTAGTCCTTTATGTTTATTTCTTTGCACTTTATCTAATGCAAGTACAAACATATTTCATTCTCTGTATAAAATCTCATCTCCCGGGGTTTAGATGTGCCATGGGAGCTTACCTCATCTGCCCCTGACCTCCTGTCCTCCGGGTTAAGGCATAAACTTGTCTACCTTGGATCAGTTGAGCTCCATCCCTCGAAGTTTGTTTGCTCGGTTGATCTGTACTGGTGGAATACTAAGCTTCAGCCCTCGAAGTCTGTTTGCTGTTCTTCCCGAATTCCAGGTTTAAAGGCCCTCAAAGTCCAATCCCAACCTTTCCTTCACATTTGACGGAGGCATAAACTTCTCTACCTCCGGGGGGCATAAACTTATCTACCTCCCCTATTTTTAGCAGGTGGCATAAACTTATCTACCTCCCTGTAATGTGGGTCTATTTCGCCCGGGGGTGTTCTCCCCCCCCCCCCCTTTTTAAGAAATTTACAGAACAATGAAATTGCAAAGGCACTTGGCTTTAGAGGAAAGAAAATTTTATTGAAACAAATATCTTAAACCCAAAAGTAGAGTACTTTACAAAATGATTTTACTGATAAAATTTGACCAAGTGCTATACATTCCATGTCCTATCAATTTCTTTTCCCTTTGGAGTCACCAACTTGTAGGTACCTGGGCGAAAAACGGCCTTGATGATATAAGGTCCTTCATATTTCTTAGCGAGCTTTCCACCCTTAGTTGGTTGACTCTTCTCTCGTTTCCTCAAGACATAATCTCCCACCTGGAACACCCTCGGTTTCACCCTACTATCAAAGTAAGATTTCACCTGGCGACGATAATTCTCTGCCCGGATCCGCGCTTCATCCCTTCGTTCCTCTATGAAGTTAAGCTCTATGGCCTGATTTTGTTCGTTCACTTCCGGGTCATATTCCATGTCTCTCTTGGTAGGGATCACCGTCTCAGCTGGAGCCCGGGCTTCAAAACCATAGGCTAAGCCAAAAGGAGTATCACCCGTAGCCCTTCTTGGAGTTGTCCTGTACGCCCACAGGATTCTGGGTAGTTCATCCACCCATTTGCTTCCTTCTGATAGCAATTTCTTCTTTATTCCATTTATGATTGTTCTGTTGACCTTCTCCACCTGACCATTAGCTTGGGGATAGGCTACAGACACCTTCGTATGCTGAATTCCCCAAGTTTTGAGGAAGTCTTAGAACTCTGCTTCCTCAAACTGGGTTCCATTGTCGGATATGATCTGCTTCGGGACCCCAAGCCTACAAAGTATATTGGTTCCCACGAAGTCGATCATCTGCCTCCCAGTTATCCCAACAAGTGGCTCAACCTCCACCCACGTGGTGAAATAGTCTTTGGCCACCACAATACATCTTGCCTGTCCAACCCGTTTCGGAAAGGCATCCACAATATCAATCCCCCACCTGGAGAAGGGAATCACTGAACTGATGGGTGTGTAGTTCGTGGCTGGCCTCCCGGGCATGTTTTGAAATTGTTGACAGGTCGGGCACTTACACACATACTCCTCACAATCCTTTCTTATTGTTGGCCAGAAATATCCCTGGATTATCGCCCTTCTGGAGACAGAGTATGGGCCCTGATGTGCAGCACATACTCCTTCGTGTATCTCTTCCATAAGCGCCTTTGCCTCTGCTGCCCTTAGGCAGCGGAGTAAAACACCATTGTAAGATCGCTTATAGAGGACTCCATCCTGCACCTTGTAGGTGTGTGCTCTCATTCGCAGCAACCGGGCTTCTTGTCTAACCTTTCCGGAGGATCAGCTGACACCTAGAGCACTTCGTCCCTGTTAAGACTTGGGGTTGCCAACTCTTCCACCGTTGCTAATTTGCTTATATACTCTGGTGATTCTGCGCTAAGCTTGGACATAACATCAGCTTCCGCGTTTTGCGCTCCGGGTATGTGTTCAAGCTTAAACTCGAACCTTCCCAACATTTCCAAGAACAAGTCTCGATACCTCCTCATCCTTTCTTCCTTTGCTTCGAACTCCCTAGTGATTTTTCCCACAACCAAGTGGGAGTCGCTGTATACCTGAACCCTGGACACTCCCAGCTTGCCGAGAATTCTCAGTCCATTGATCAGGGCCTCATATTCGGCTTCATTGTTGGATACGCGAAACTAAAATTTGATGGCGTAATATATCCGGAAATTTTCCGGAGTGATCAAGACAATACCTTCTCCGCAAGATTGAGACCCAGAAGATCCGTCAATACTCATCACCCACCAGTCGTCTTCCACCCGGGTCCCGGCCTGGGCTCTTGTCATCTCCCTGGCAGTACACTCAACCTGAAAGTCGGCGAGTGCCTGCCCTTTGATTGATGGACGCGGCCTGAACTCCACATTGTACTGATTGATGAAGACCACCCACTTGGTCATCCGGAAAGATGCCGCTGAACTCCGGGTGAGTGACGCCAAAGGCTCATTGGTGAGCACTACAATCCGGTGCGCTTGAAAGTACGAGGTTAATCTCTCTGCATCTCTCAAGGTCTTGCTGACGTAGTAGACCGGATGTTGGGCCCCATTCTCTTCCCTCACAATCACAGTACTGACGGCACAATCTGCAATTGCTATGTATAGAGTGAGGACATCTCCAGGTTCCAGCTTGGATAAAACCGGAGGACTTGCCAGATATCTCTTCAATTCTTCAAATGCTTCCTGACATTCTTGCGTCCATTTGAAGGTCGCCCTCTTCTTGATTACAGTAAAGAATGGGTGCGCCTTCTCTGCCAGCTTTGAAAGGAAACGATTCAAAGCCGCCAATCTCCCTATCAGCCGCTGGACTTCATTTGCCGTCTTCGGTGGTTCCATCTCCATGATGGCCCTAACCTTTTCCGGGTTTGCCTCAATCCCTCTCTGGCTAACCATGTGCCCGAGGAATTTTCCACCCTGAACAGCAAAAGTACATTTCTTCGGATTCAATCTTAAATTTACCTTCATCATGATTTCAAAGACCTCCTCAAGGTCCCGGGCGTGGTCTCGGGCCTCTTTGGACTTGAAAATCATGTCATCAACATAGGCTTCCATGGTTCACCCCAAGACGGCTTTGAACACCTGTCAAACCATCCGAGTATACGTTGCGCCGGAGTTTCTCAGTCCAAATGCCATCACCAAGTAACAGTATATCCCCTCCGGGGTCATAAAACTTGTCTTCTCAACATCAGCCGGGTGCATCCGAATCTGATGGTAGCCACTGAAAGCATCCATGAAGCTCATTAACTCTGATCCGGAAGTCTCATCCACCATCTGGTCAATATTGGGGAGTGGGAATGGATCTATTGGGCATGCCTTGTTCAAATCCGTGTAGTCGACGCACATTCTCCACGAAGGAGGTTTAGGCGCCAGAACTACATTCACCAACCAATCCGGGTAATGCACCTCCCGGATGTGTCCAATGCTCTGCAAGGTTGCAACCTCCTTTTTTACGAAATCTCTCCTCTCCTGTGACAAATTCCTTCGCTTCTGCTTCACCGGTTTAACATCTTGTGTCCAATGGACTGCAATCTTGTGATCCAGCCCTGGCATATCCGCTGGACTCCATGCAAAGACCTTCCTAAACCTTCTAAGGACTGAGATCACTCGCGACCTGAGTTCAGCCCCCAGCCCTTTCCAATTCTGACCAACCTCCCCGGCATGCCCGGCTCCAGTTTAACTTCCTAAATGTCTCCTGCAACTTCTACTCTGGGACGTCTCTCCTCGGCCCTCAAGAGCTGTGCAGTTACCTCCCCCACTTGGGTGTCGTACTTGATAGGCTGTTTAGTTGCCTTCAAATACCACGCCCGGGACACTCTCTGGGATCCCCTGGCGATTCCAACTCCGTGGGGGGTTGGGAATTTTATGCATAGGTGACGAGGCGAAATGACACACTCTAGATCTTCGAATCCGGGTCTGCCCAGGATGATGTTTGTATTGGATATTATCCCCACTACAACGAACTCCATGTCCAACTTCCGGGTGGCCTTAGTATCCCCTATTTCGACCGGGAGAGTTATTACCCCTTCCAGTTCAATAGAGTCGCCTGTAAACCCGGTCAGCGGAGTCTTAATGGGTGATAACTCATCTCTCGTCAAACCAAGAGCCATGTAAGTATCCATATACATGATATTAACAGATCTTCCCGTATCCACCAAAGTTTTGTGGATCAGCAAGTCCATTATATCAATCGTAATCACCAGGGCGTCCTTATGGGGGACCCTCGTTTCAGGCAAATCAGCGTTAGAAAATACGATCGACTAAGTTTTTAGCTTCTTACTTTCCGGGACCAGCACCTTATTGACCATCGCCGCGTTGGCCCACTTCTTCCGGCTCGTGGCCGAGTCTCCGCCAGTATTCCCTCCAATGATGAAGTTACACCCGTGGGGTCTCTTCTGGCGGTATGGTGCGGGCTCTGAATCCTCCTCCTCATCTTCAAGCCCGATGTGGCGTTTTTCCCGGGCCTGGGCCACCTCCTTATCTCTACGCTTCCCATTCTGAGCGTTCCCGGGATTTTCCGCGTCACCATCTTGTACAAACTTCTTCAGATGGCCCCGGCAGATTAGCCTCGCCATCTCATTCTTCAGGGTATAGCAGTCATCTGTGTTGTGATCATTCTTGCGGTGGTAGGCACACCATTTTCCAGTGTCCTCCACGGTTTTCACCTAAATAAATACAATAAATTCAAAATAGGAAATAATATATTCAAAAATTACAATATAATTTTATCAATCATAAAATGATTTTTTATGTCCAAATAAAATTATATTTACTATATCTACAATATATATAAATATATATTTCGAAAAATCAAAATATATGTATTTATATATATATATTACGGGTAGAAATAAAATAAATAAATTTAAAATTCATTTTCAATGATTTATTTAAGTCCAATACTTATTCCAAGACTAAATAAAATCATTTTACCAATTTTTGAATTTTAATAATTACCAAGTTAAAACTTTGACTTTTTAAATTTTAAAAGTCAAACGTAAAACTATAGTTTTGTACGTTGGCTCTGATACCACTGAAAGATAACCATGCAAGGATATGCAGCGGAATACAAAAATTTTTAA